TTTTTCTTCTATTAGATGAAGGGTCTCTGGTTGTATTCTTAAGTCCTTGATCCATTTTGAGTTGAGTTTTGTGTATGGTGAGAGATAGGGGTTTAATCTCATTTTGTTGCATATGGGTTTCTAGTTTTCCCAGTACCATTTGTTGAAGAGGCTATCTTTCTCCAATGCATGTTCTTGGCACCTTTGTCTAATATAAGAGAACTGTAGTTTTGTGGGTTAGTCTCTGTATCCTCTATTTTCTACCACTGGTCTACTGGTCTGTTTTGGTGCCAATACCATGCTGTTTTTGTTACTATTGCTCTGCTGTATAGTTTAAAGTCTGGTCTAGTGATGCCACCTGCATCACTCTTCCTACTAAGGATTACTTTAGCTATTCTGGGTCTCTTATTTTTCCAGATGAATTTCACGATTACTTTTTCTATTTCTATGAGGAATGTCATTGGGATTTTGATTGGAATTGCATTAAATCTGTATAGTGCTTTTGGAAGTATGGTCATTTTGATAATATTAATTCTGCCTATCCAAGAGCAAGATAGATCTTTCCATCTTCTAAGATCTTCTTTGATTTCTTTCTTTAGGGTTCTGTAATTTTCATTATATAGATCTTTCACCTCTTTCATTAAGTTGATTCCCAAGCATTTTATTTATTTATTTTTGAGGCTATTGAGAATGGGGTAGTTTTCCTCATTTCCCTTTCTGAAGATTTGTCACTAATATACAGAAATGCCTTTGATTTATGAGTGTTGATTTTATATCCTGCTACTTTGCTGAACTCATTTACTAGTTCTGGGAGTTTTTCTGGTGGAACTTTTAGGGTCTTCCGGGTATGAATCATATCATCTGCAAATAGTGCCAATTTGAGTTCTTCTTTTCCTAAGTGTATCCCTTTAATTTCTTTCATCTAATTTCTCTGGCCAGTGTTTCAAGAACTATGTTAAATAGAAGTGGTGAAAGAGGGCATCCCTATCTTGTTCCAGTTTTTAGAGGGAATGCTTTCAATTTTTCTCCATTTAGAATGATGTTGGCCTGGGTCTTAGCATAGATAGCCTTTATGACGTTGAGATATATGCCTTTTATCCCAAGATTTTCTAGTGTTTTGAACATAAAGGGGTACTGTATTTTGTCAAATGCTTTTTCCGAATCTATTGAGATGATTCTTATCTTTAAGTCTACTGATGTGATGAATTACATTTATTGATTTCCATATGTTGAACCAACCTTGTATCCCTGGAATGAATCCCACTTGTTCATGGTGCACTATCTTTTTGATATGTGTTTGCATTCGATTTGCCAGAATTTTATTGAGAATTTTTGCATTTATGTTCATTAGAGATATTGGTCTGAAGTTTCCTCCCTCCCTCCCTCCCTCCCTCCCTTCCTTCCTTCCTTCTTTCCTTCCTATTCATGTGTCTTTGCCTGGTTTTGGAATCAGGGTGATATTGGCCTCATAGAATGAGTTTGGAAGTATTCCCTCTTTTTCTATTTCCTGGGATAAATTGAAGAGTATTTGTATTAGTTCTTCTTTAAAGGTCTTGTAGAACTCAGCTGTATATCCATCCGGTCCTGAGCTTTTCTTGGTTGGTAGACTTCTGATGGTATCTTCTTTTTTGTTGCTTGAAATTGATAGGTTTCAATTCTGTACATTATCCTGATTCAATTTGGGCAAATTATATGCCTCTAGAAATTTGTCAATGCTTTCAATATTTTCTATTTTATTGGAGTTTTCAAAATAATTTCTAATTATCTTCTGTATTTCTGTAGTGTCTGTTGTTATATTTCCTTTACATCACGTATGTTAGTGATTTGAGTTTTCTCTCTCCTTCTCTTCGTTAGCATGGCTAAGGGTCTGTCAATTTTATTTATTTTTTCAAAGAACCAGCAGTTCTGTCAATTTTTTCAATTGTTTCTTTTGTTTCAATTTCATTAATTTAAGCTCTGATTTTAATTATTTCCTGTCTTCTGATACTTTTGGTGTTGATTTGTTCTTCATTCTCTAGGGCTTTAAGAGGTAGTGTTAAGTCATTTATTTGTTGACTTTTTCTTCTTTTAAGGAATGAACTCCATGCAATGAACACTGCTTTCATAGTGTCCCAGAGATTTCGATATATCTGTGTTCTAAAAGCTAAAAGTTCTAAAAACTTTTTAAATCTAAAGTTCTAAAAACATTTTAATCTTCTCCTTGATGTCTTCTGTAACCCGTTGTTCATTCAGTAGCATATTATTTAGTCTCCAGGTGTTGAAGTGGATTTTATTTCTTATTTTTTCATTGATTCCTAATTTCATTCCATTATGATCTGATAGAATGCAGGGTAGTATCTCTACTTTTTTATATTTGCTTAGAATTGCTTTGTGGCATAGTATATGGTATATTTTAGAGAAGGATCCATGTGCTTCTGAGAAGAAAATATATTCTCTTGTTGAAGGTTGAAATATTCTATATATGTCAGTTAAGTCTAAGTTACTGACTGTATTATTGCATTCTACAGTTTCTTTGTTCAGCTTTTGTTTGGAAGATCTATCTAGTGGTAGAAAAGGTGTGTTAAAGTCACCCAAAATTACTGTGTTGTGATCTATTTGAATCTTGAACTTGAGAAGAGTTTGTTTGACGCTCCGTTGTTTGGGGCATATATATTTATAATTGTTAAGTCTTGTTCGTGTATGGTTCCTTTGAGCAGTATCTAGTGTCCTTCTTTATCCTTTTTGATTGACTTTAGGTTGAAGTCTACTTTATTTGATATGAGGATGGAAACCCCTGCTTACTTCTGCAGTCCATGTGAGTGGTATGATTTTTCCTAACCCTTCACCTTCAATCTGTGAATGTCTTTTTCTATGAGATGTGTCTCTTGGAGGCAGCATATTGTTGGGTCCTTTTTTTTTTTTTTTGGATAAAATCTGCTAGTCTATGTTTTTTGATTGGTAGTTTCTTCTATGATTAGATTTTCCTTTAGTGTAATCCCTCCCTCTGCTGACTTTCATCATTGTCTTTTATTTCTCTTGTGGAATATTTTGCTGAGGATGTTCTGTAATGCAGGCTTTCTAGTTGTAAATACTTTTAACTTTTGTTTATCATGGAAGATTTTTATTTCATCATCAAATCTAAAGCTAAATTTGCTGGATACAAGATTCTTGGCTGGCATCCATTTTCTTTCAGAGCTTGGTATATGTTGTTCCATGACCTTCTGGCTTTGAGGGTCTGGACTGAAAAATCTGCTGAGATATGAATTGGTCTCCCCTGGTATGTGATCTGATTCCTCTCTCTTGTGGCTTTTAAGATTCTATCCTTATTCTGTATGCTAGGCATTTTCATTATAATGTGCCTTGGTATAGATCTGTTGTAATTTTGTACATTTGGTGTCCTGTAAGCCTCTTGTATTTGGTTTTCCAATTCATTCTTCATGCTTGGGAAATTTTCTGCTATTATCTCATTGAAGAGATTGTGCATTCCTTTGGTTTGAAACTCTGTGCCTTCCTCTATCCCAACAACTCTTAGTTTTGGTCTTTTGATGCTGTCCCATAATTCTTGGATGTTCTATTCATGGTTTCTAACTTTCTTCACTGTGTGATCAACTTTATTTTCCAGATTGTATACTTGTCTTCATTATCTGATGTTCTCTTTCTTCCAAGTGATCTAGTCTGTTGGTTATGCCTTCTATTGAGTTTTTTATTTGATTTATTGTATCCTTCATTTCAAGAATTTCTGACTGGCTTTTTTTCAGAGTCTCTCTTTCTCTCTTGAAGTAATCTTTTGCTACCTGTATTTGTTCTCTTATCTCATTGTTGGAGTGATCAATTTTTGCTTGTATTTGCTTATTTAGGTCATTCTTTAATTCACATATCATTTTAATTATGAACCTTCTGAACTCCTTCTCTGACATTTCATCAACTTCTCTGTCCATAGGTTCTGTTATTATAGTGTACTGGTTTGTTTGGGGCACTTTCCTCCCTTGTTTTTTCATGTTGTTTATGTGTCTTCCTTTCTTGAAGTGTGGATCTGAGATATTACAGTTTCTTCCCTATATTCTTGTAGTACATGTTCAAATTGTCTGTACCTCACCTTGATGTTGGGCTTTCCAGACCCTGCTGGTGTCCCTCAATGGATGCTACTGCATCTTGGAACTGGGACCTGTGTAAGTTGGAGTGGGTGGATCTGGGCCACTGGGCTTGACCTCCCATGATAGTCTGCTGGTAGGAAGGGGTGGTCCTGTACAAAAGGCTAGGCTCTGGAAGTGTCTGACCTGCTGGGGGAGGGGTGAACTGAGCCTACTGAAATCCTGGATCCTGTACGGGCTATGTGAGCCCTCTGGTTGGATATTGGCTCTCGCAGCAGTGCACTGGTCAGAAGGGGCAGTCCTGCACCAGAGGCTAGGCTCTGGCGTGTGTCTGCCTTGTTGGGAAAGGAGTGGACCCGCTGTGTGCCTGGGCCCTACAGAACTTGGTTTGGGTGGATCTTGAACTACTAATTCTTAATCCATAAAGTTAGCTGTGGGTATTAAATGATATAGTATACATATAAAGACCCAAACTTATTGTAGGAACTCAAAAAGTCTCCTTTCTTCCTCTTTCTATTTAGAACATAGACTCTACAGAACTCCATTTAAGATTTGTTCCTTTATATTTATATTACATTTTATAGTTCTATTAATAAACACATTTTAACTTCTTAACAACCCAATAAGGTAGAGTTCTATTTTACAGGTAAGTTCTATTTTATAGGTAAGGTAAGTTCTATTTTATAGGTAAGAATGAAAAGGATCTTATTAACTTATTATTGACAGCTGAAACCAAAAACCAGGAATCCTACTTTATTGTAGCCTTAATACACTTCTCTGAGAATAATGGGTACCTCATAAGTACTAAAATAGTCTTCTACTGAACCAGGTTCTGAGAAGGCATCTTCAGGGCATAAACAGAAGGCAGATGCCAGAGCCTCAGTAATTGAAAGGAGGTAAGTATTTGAACTGTAGCTCCTTGGAACTGGTGATAGCTGAAGGACGGCCTACCTTGTGGAAAATCCTGATGGGAGCCATCTCTGCTCCATTTAGCGTCTTCAAAAGGAACATGGGCCAAGAGGAGGCATTCAGCCGAAATCCTACAGCAAACACAACAAAGAGGAGATTAAGAAATTCCAGCTACTCCTCCCATAACACATGCTGTGACAGTCATAGAATCATAGGCTATTAGGAATAGACTTAAAAGTTAAATAAAAGAAATGCCTCATTAGACAAGATGAGGAAAAGGAGGCACATTGGAGGAAATGTAACTTGTCCCGGGTAATGCTACAAAGTAAATAGTAAGACGGGTTTCCACTAGGGGCTGGGATTGTGGCTTAGCGGTCGAGCGCTCACCTAGCACATGCGAGACTCTGGATTCGATCCTCAGCACCACATAAAAATAAATAAAATATAGGTATTGTGTCCAACTACAAGTAAAAAATATTTTTTAAAAAATCACACACTATATATCATAATGCCTACAAGACTTTCCTTGAAAAATCCAAAAAAGTTGTAAGAAAAGGATTAACAAATACTTAGAAATAATCTGGAAAGTAGAGTATAAAAGAGGATCTAATAGTCTTAAGAGGTAAATAAACATGCCAACTAATAAGATCAACATATAAGCAAATCACTTTGTCTCAATATAAATTAATTCAATATTTTTCTATCTCTTTCTTATGAATACACATGTAAAAACACAAACCAAGTATAAATTACTTTTTTATATTCCTTGTTTATTTTAACATCTAAGAATCATGGAATGATGAGGCCAGAGGGGATCATCTTACCCTCAAACTTTTATTTTCTGAATGAGTAATAAGGGGCCTAGAGGGGTTATTGTCCATTGTTATCCATCAAGTAAATGTGAATAATTTAATTAATGAATTATAAACCTGAGACCATTATTGTTATCATATTGATTAATACGAGCCCCAAATGCTTCTTATAATTTGCCTTCAATTCTTCATCCTGAGACCAAAATAAAATGCTTCTCAACAGTTTCTAGCCCACCTCAGTCTTCTCAATCCATTCAAAATCTATTCAGCATCAAAGCTGCAGACTTGGAAATAACAACAATATTTTTGTTCTTAAGTATTTACTGTGTGCTGTTACTTTACACCGAATCTAATTTAGCCCTTAAGACAGCCCTAGGAGACCAGTATTATTATCTATATATTACAGAGGAGGAACGAAGCACAATGTTAACTAAGTTGCTTACAATTTCAAAGTGTGCAAATGACATAAACAGGATCGAATCCTAAGTAATCTTGAGTCCTAAGAAGCCTATGCTTTTACCCACAACACTAATCTTACACATATTAATGCAGGTAAAATGAAGAATCGGCATTTGGGATTAACTATTAATAACTACAAGTTAACATCAGGGGGAGGAAATGAGAAGAGGAAATGGGAATAAAAGCCCCATACAACTTAATATTTTCCATTCTAGATGGAAGTGTTGCTTTCTAGGAGTGATTTTGGTTGTGCTAGATTGCCAATGCTTTTTCTCTGTTTTTTTTTTTTAATGTATATCCTATCTGCATAAAATTTTCGTTCTGGTTCAGGTCTGGTATTATCTCTGCTGGCTTTAGATCTTTATATCCCCACTAAAATATAATTCAAATTTTTGGTATTCTTAACTCCTAGTTAAATTTAGGCATGCTTATGAATGGTTTGTTTTCCTTTTTCATCTTTATGTTTCTATAGAATTTTTGGAAAGATTTTGATTTAGATGGCCACTATATTATCCTTGGGAGCTCATATTTTTTTAATTGCATCACAATGCATTTTTAAATAATGATTCATAAAATAGAATGAGAATAATATACTTTTACAATGCAGTTGTAAAAAGGAATGAGAAATATCTCCACACTATTCTGAAGCCATCTTTAGATCATATCAATAAATGAAAAAAGCAAGGTTGAGAAAAGTAGGTAAAGTATGCAATCATTTGTGTCAGTATTTATAGGCAAGTATGTGTGTATATACACATATATACATCAATAAATCAATAAATATATATATATATTTATATTTATATATATCAATATAAATATATATTGATATGTATACATTGTGTATTTATACACATATAAATTTCAAAATATGTTTTTGAAATTTGCCTCTTTCAAATCTGTTTGCCTCTTTCAAAATGGAAGGATAAATAATAAAATTGAGCAGTTATATATGGAAGAAAGAAAGAAAAGGGTGAAGGGGATTTATTCTCTTGTTTTATAAAGTTTGCTTTTAAAATGAATATATTTAATGTATTTATAAAGTGAAATTAATTTTTAAAATGCAATTCCTCAAAAAATAAATAAATAAAACAAATGAATCTTAATTATTAAGTTGGTGGCAGAACCATCCAGAAAAAAAGGTAATCCATAAGATCTTATGTTATTTGCTATATTTCCTTTGAAGGTAAGAAAAAATTGCAAATAACTCAAACACTACCAATAATCATAATGGTGATAGTGTTGATAACTAGCCTGAAACTGTTATATGTGTATTGTGGAATGAAGCAAATGAGTTAATTTGTTCATGTGGAGAATGAGGGTTTTGTTGTGGTATAAAGGAGATACAGATTCAAGACGGTAGAGATGAAATAGGCATAAATACCACTGTTCTGAATTTTAGTGGGAAGTATTAATATGAAATCACAATGCTCTGCCCCTCTTTAACAAAAAAAACGAAGAAAGAGTGACCACCCTAGTAGTACTGTGTGCTATAGTGCTCAGATTATGATCACTAAATCCCACTTATCACTGAAAAAAATTTAGATACCTAGAAAAATATCTCCTTCTATCCCAGGGTGGAAAATGTACAAGATGAATGTGGAACATTTTGAAATTTCAAAAGTTCACAATAGCTACAAATATTACTAATATATGTAAGAATAAGGAGACAATCTGATGAGGCTTCTACTGTCCCAAAATGGGACAATTCAAGTATCAATATGGACTTTTAGTATGATGAATCAAAATATCACAATTTTATGATAAACAACAACAACTACATTTATTAAATACTTTTGGAGTGTGCTAGTAAATCAATTGATAATTTTAAAAATAGATATAGAAAATAATCCTGTATGAATTGTATCATTGCAAGATAACCAAAGAATTGATAAAAAATTATTTTATTTTCCTAATTTATGTCAATTTTGTTAGCTCCCTTTATAAGAACAAATATAACATGCTTTGGAATCGGCCCTCCCAAGCCCTGTAATCCATGTATAAACTTGATTTATATATTTGTAAAACTTGGCACCCATTCTCCTTTGTAAGTCTTAATGAGCTACAGGAACTGCAGGCAGTGAGAAAGTCCAGATGAAAGTTTATTTACTTTTTAAAACATTTATTTAGTTGTAGGTAGACACAACACCTTTATCTTTTATTTTTATGTGGTGCTGAGGATCAAACCCAGTGCCTCACACATGATAAGCAAGCACTCCACCTCTGAGCCACAACCCTAGCCCACGGATGAAAGTTTATTTTAATAGATATATTTCATTTTATTTGTGTAGAATATGGCAGGATTAAAGTTTTCCACTTTGAAACCATAATGAATTTATATATCTAAACTAGGGGGTTAGCAAACTATAGTCAGCAGGCTTGAACACAGCCCTGCCTATTAATTTATTTTGTATTATTCATGGATGCTTTCCACACTTAAAAGGACAAAGAATAGTAGCTATAAAAGATCTACAAGCCTGAAATATTTACTATTTAACCCACTGAAAAAATCTGTTAACTCTTGATCTAAACCATGAACATCAATGGCTGCTACATGATAAAAAAAGAGACAATCAGACCACATACGCTTCCGCATAGAAATAAACACCACCATCAGTGAAATATTCTTACAGAAAAATAGAACATAAATCTGAGAAAATCTCTAGATCTAGCACCAATCTAGGAAATAGAGGAGAGAGAACCATGTTAAATGATATGGACATTCATTGTATTATTTACTTTTGCATATATTTGGAACTTTATATTATAAATAATTTTTTTAAATGGGAGAAAATGTTAAACAAGCACATGGGGAGCTCTTTAAAATGATTAATCAAGTTAATCTAATCAGACAGAATAATCTAATTCGACTAGATTAAGCTATTTCAGCTTCTTGAGGGCAACAGGTTCTAAAGTCCATCCCTCTCCAAAACTTGGTGCAGTAATGATTGATAATATGATAGTAATTGATGAGCTGAGCTGAATCTTTCATATATATTGAAGCAAAAAAGTAAATTCAATCTGGAATAGAAAAATTTGGTGGGGTTATTAATTTAAATGAAGCAATGGATTTTCTTAATAATGGATTCAAAATGAGAAAATGCAAAGTACCAAGTGAAAACCTGGAGGAGAGGAAATAAGGGACCCTTATGCAGTCATCAGTTCTACTGGAGATTTTTCTTTCACTACTTGTCATAGGATTTGGTGAAATCTTCATGGTGTGTACATGTGCCTGTGTGTGTTTGTGTGTGTGCGTGTGCGTGTATGTGTGCATGTGTGTACGTGTGTAACTTTTTGGTTTTTTTTGGAGAAGATTAAATGGAAAAACTGCCTTACACTTTCTCTCTTGGAATAAAGGGCACTGACAAAAAAGGATGAAGAATGTGGTTTCTTGTTAGGAAAAGGAAGAATTTGAGAGAAGCTTGACTATCATAAACTAATGTAGAGATAGAAATGTCCAGATTTGCAGATTGTTTCATTTTGGATGGGCCTTTTAAGGAGACCATGTGAAAAAGAAGGAATGGGGGGAGATTGTAAGCTTTTCCATGATAAGAGTACAATTTCTGGAACCTAACTGATGGGCTAGGGAAATCCTGTGTCTAGTTACTCACCCAGAGGTGGCTGTAGCATACCCCCATTCTTCTCACAGTTTCCAACAGGCTGGATTTCAGCTGAGTCAACCAGCCGCCAGAAGTCGTTCTTGTTGTCACTACCATCAAGGCGCAGGCGGAGGCGGGCACCTGTCAGTCCAACTACTGTGGCAATACATGTGGATGTGGTGTTCCTGGGGTCCTGTGCTTCCAATTTCATGCTGATCTTGAACTCGTTGCTTGGAGGTGTGAAGGACTGAGGAAAACAAGTCATGAGGATTAAGAAGACTAAAAGTAAGCCGCATTTTCAATAAGGATGTTAAGAGATGGAACCTGAAAATATATGCTTTGGACTCAAATTGGTTATAACTGGCCCAGGGACAACTTGTCTGAGTTATTCTCTAACACTTAGGAAAGGTTTCATACAAAGAAACACAAAGAAAGAAGGTGAAGAAGAAAATTACTTTCCTATTAAGCATCAAATATTAATTTATAGTAGTGAAAAAAGGACAAGAATGTTTCATATAGTCCAGTTATTTAAATATTTTCTCATTCTACCTTTTCCAACACCCTACCCCTTCTGGTATAACACTTTCTTTTCAAGACCACTAAATCACATTAAACTATATCCTTAATGTCTCTTCATGGAATATTCAGTATAGTGGTCTGTATATCTACCACACAGACTATTGGGAATTAACATTTTTTAAAAAATTGAAATTAAGTTATAAATCAACTCATAATTTACATACAACAAACTATATACTTAATAAGTCTTGACATTGTGTACATACCTACGACACCATATACACCCATGAAAGTATTACCACAATCAAAGTAATGCACAAGGCCATCACCGTCAGGATCTCATATGCTCCTTTGTAACACCTTTTCCTGGGTCTTTCCAGATTCCCATGCCTAGCAACCACTGATCTACTTTCTGTCACTATAGATTGATTTGCATCTTTTATTAGATGGAATCATACAGGAAATACACTTTTTGTCTAGCTTGTTTCACTCAGCATAGCTATTCTGACATTTACCCATATTGTTGAATATATCAATACAGTTGAGTATCCCTAATTGGAAAGTCTGAAATCCAAAATTCTACAAAATCTGAAACTTTTGGAGCACTGACATGATGATACAAATGGAAAATTCCACACCTGGCCTCATGTGATGGGTTGCAGTTAAAACACAGGTGCACTAAAAATACTGTATTAAATTACCTTTAGGACATGTGTATAAAGTACATATTAGATAAATGAACTTTGGGTTTAGATTTGGGTCATATCCCTAAGATATCTCATTATATAATATGCAAATATTCCAAAATCTGTTACTCAATCTGAAATTCATTTCTTTTTATTGGTAAGTGATATACCATGATGCTGGTCATTTAGTTTGTTGCCAGTTTTTGTCAATTACAAATGAAGCTGCTCTATAAACATTTATATACAAATCTTTATATGAAAATGTACTGTTGTTGATTGGTATCTGTGGAGTATTAATTCTAGGATGCCCTCGAAATACCAAAATCTGCAGATGCTTAATTCCACAAAATGGACTTGATATAAAGTGGTGTAGTATTTGTATAAAACTTATGCATATCTTCCTGTATACTTTAAACTATCTCTGGATTACTTATAGTACCTAATAAAACATAAATTCTATGTAAATAATTATTGTACTGTATTGTATAGGAAATAATGATAAGGAAAAAAACTGTACGTGTTCAGCAGAGACACATTTTTTCCCCAAATATTTTTGATTTGGGGTTGGTTGAATCCACAGATATGCAACTCACAGATGGAGGGCCAACTGACTTTCTTTTCTTTTGCATAATAATAATCTAAGAGCAGAATGGCTGGATCATATATTAGGTATATGTTTAACTCACACATGAGAAAATGAATACTTTTCAGGTATGCATTCAATGATTTTTAATATAGTCACAGAGTCATACAAACATTATACCTATCTAATTTTATAATAAGTTCATCAATGTCCAAAAGAAACCCTGTACTCATTTTAGGAGGTACTCTCTATTCCCCTCTCATTTTAGTCCCTAGAAACTATGAATATGATTTTTGTTACAGTAGATTTGTCTATTCTGGAATTTTATACAGATGGAATTACATAATATGTGAACAATATATGAATGGTTTCTTTAACTTAGCAAGGTTCATTCATGTTATAGGATATAACAGTACTGCATTCCTTTTCACTGCTGAATAATATTCCATTGTATGGATATACTACGCTACTAATTTATCAGCTGATGAACATTTGGATTGTTCTCCTTTTTGGCTATTATAATAATGTGGCGAACACTTATGATACATTTTGAGTAGACCTGTATTTTCCATTCTCTTAGGTATATACTCATGAGTGGGATTGCTGGGTAATGTGGTAACTGTACATTTAACATTTTGAGTAAACTCTTAACTGTTTTCTAAGGTGGCTATAGGATTTTATAATTTCTGCACCAATTAACAAGCATTCCAATATCTTTAGATCTTTACCAACCTTGTTATTGTCTGTTTTAAAATTTTTTGTCATCTAGTGGATGTGAAGTGGTATCACTACAATTCTGATTTACATTTCTCTGTAGAGATAATGATATTGAATTTCTGTCATGTGCTTATTGGTCATTTTATATGGAGAAATATATATTCAAACTCCTTGCCCATTTAAAAATTGTGTTGTATTTTTATTGATAAGTTTTTTAAAAAGATTTTTAAAATATCTGTGATACGAGTCACTTATGAGATATAGGATTTGTAAATATTTTCTCCTATTTTGTGTTACCTTTTCATTTTCCCAATGGTGTCCTTGGAATAACAGTAGCTTTAACTTTGAAGTTCCATGTATCTATTTTCTCTTTTGTTATTTGTGTTTTGGGTGCCATATCTAAGGAACTATAACCTAAGCCAAGGTCATGAAGATTTACTCTGATGTGTTCTAAGAGTTTTTTAGTTTTAGATTTTACATTTAGGTTTATGATCCATTTGGAGTTCATTTTTTTAAAATATGGTACAGAAGGGCAAAGGGGATTTCCAGCTGTTCTTGTGCTGGTTTTTGAAAATTTGAAAGAACTATGTTGGCACCCTTATTGAAAATCAATTGACAATAAATTGATGGGTCCATTTCTTTTTTTTTTTTCCCATTCCCCTCATAACCTCTTATATGTAATTTTGTATAACAATGAGGGTCTCCTTCCATTTCCATGCAATTTCCCTTTTCTCTACCTTTCCCTCCCACCTCATGTCTCTGTTTAATGTTGATCTTTTCCTCCTGCTCTGACTCCCTGCTCTGTTCTTAGTTGCTCTCATTATATCAAAGAAGACATTTGGCATTTGTTTTTTAGGGATTGGCTAGCTTCACTTTGCATAATCTGCTCTAGAACCATCCATTTCCCTGCAAATTCCATGATTTTGTCATTTTTTAGTGCTGCATAATACTCCATTGTGTATAAATGCCACATTTTTTTTATCCATTCATCTATTGAAGGGCATCTGGGTTGGTTCCACAGTCTAGCTATTGTGAATTGTGCTGCTATGAACATCGATGTGGCAGTATCCCTGTAGTACCCTCTTTTAAGGTCTTCAGGGAATAGTCCGAGAAGGGCAATAGCTGGGTCAAATGGTGGTTCCATTCCCAGCTTTCCCAGGAATCTCCATACTGCTTTCCAAATTGGCTGCACCAATTTGCAGTCCCACCAGCAATGTACAAGAGTACCCTTTTCCCCCACATCCTCGCCAGCACTTGTTGTTGTTTGACTTCATAATGGCTGCCAATCTTACTGGAGTGAGATGGTATCTTAGGGTGGTTTTGATTTGCATTTCTCTGACTGCTAGAGATGGTGAGCATTTTTTCATGTACTTGTTGATTGATTGTATGTTCTCCTCTGAGAAGTGTCTGTTCAGGTCCTTGGCCCATTTGTTGATTGGGTTATTTGTTATCTTATTGTTTAATTTTTTGAGTTCTTTGTATACTCTGGATATTAGGGCTCTATCTGAAGTGTGAGGAGTAAAAATTTGTTCCCATGATGTAGGCTCCCTATTTACCTCTCTTATTGTTTCTCTTGCTGAGAAAAAACTTTTTAGTTTAAGTAAGTCCCATTTGTTGATTCTTGTTATTAACTCTTGTGCTATGGGTGTCCTATTAAGGAATTTGGAGCCCGACCCCACAGTATGTAGATCGTAGCCAACTTTTTCTTCTATCAGACGGCGTGTCTCTGATTTGATATCAAGCTCCTTGATCCATTTTGAGTTAACTTTTGTGCATGGCGAGAGGAGGGGATTCAGTTTCATTTTGTTGCATATGGATTTCCGGTTTTCCCAGCACCATTTGTTGAAGATGCTATCCTTCCTCCATTGCATGCTTTTAGCCTCTTTATCAAATATAAGATAGTTGTAACTTTGTGGATTAGTCTCTGTGTCCTCTATTCTGTACAATTGGTCCACCCGCCTGTTTTGGTACCAGTACCATGCTGTTTTTGTTAATATTGCTCTGTAATATAGTTTGAAATCTGGTATCGCTATACCGCCTGATTCACACTTCCTGCTTAAAGTTGCTTTTGCTATTCTGGGTCTTTTATTTTTCCATATGAATTTCATGATTGCTTTATCTATTTCTACAAGAAATGCCGATGGGATTTTGATTGGCATTGCATTAAACCTGTAGAGAACTTTTGGTAATATTGCCATTTTGATGATGTTAGATCTGCCTATCCATGAACAGGGTATATTTTTCCATCTTCTAAGATCTTCTTCTATTTCTCTCTTCAGGGTTCTGTAGTTTTCATTGTATAAATCTTTCACCTCTTTTGTTAGGTTGATTCCCAAGTATTTTATTTTTTTTGAGGATATTGTGAATGGGGTGTTTTTCCTCATTTCCATTTCAGAAGTTTTGTCGCTGATATACAGAAATGCCTTTGATTTATGCGTGTTGATTTTATATCCTGCCACTTTGCTGAATTCATTTATTAGTTCTAGTAGTTTTTTTGTAGACCCTTTTGGGTCTTCTAGGTATAGAATCATGTTGTCTGCAAATACTGATGATTTAAGTTCTTCTTTTCCTATTTTTATGCCTTTAATTTCTTTCATCTGTCTAATTGCTCTGGCCAGTGTTTCGAGAACTATATTGAATAGAAGTGGTGATAGAGGGCATCCCTGTCTTGTTCCAGATTTTAGAGGGAATGCCTTCAATTTTTCTCCATTCAGAATGATGCTGGCTTGAGGCTTAGCATAA